ATGTCCTCGGCGTGAGAGACGGGGGTAGGGAATTTACCGGCTATTCATTTATTAGCACGATGCCCCTGTGAGGGAGGTATATTGGGGGGGAAACTCACCCTTGGAGAGACCAGGACCCAAGAGACGGGGAATCTGCTTGATGAGGGTGTCGGAAGCAAGGAAGGCATCGTACTTGCGAGCAAGCTTCTTGATGAGCTTCTTGTTCTTGTTCAGCTTCTTCAGGTCGTCGGCGGACATGGCGTCAATGCCGTGGTGCTTGGCACGGTCGAGATCGTGCTGGTCACCAAGAACACTATCCTTACATCAGTATTTCTATCCTTTCTTTCTCTCTCTCTCTCTCTCTCTCATTCCGAAGGTTTTTCTCCGGTGGTGATGGTAGTATCATACCAGATGGTCATGTTGGGACGGGGAACGGTAGGCAGCTTGATGGTACCAGAGAAACGCTTGTCACGCTGGGGGTCGTAGTTCTTCAGACCGATCTGAAGCTCGACGGTCTCGAGGAAGTTCCTCTTCTTCTCATTCTGAGAGTAGTTGAGCAGCTGCTCGATGTTCTGGCGCACTCCGGCTGTTCACACAAAAACCATTAGCATCCTGCATCATACACATACACATACACCTCAAGTGTTGCCGTTGTTGGGATAAAGATGTAACATACCGACTGTGATCTTAGACATGGTGCTGACAGTCTTCCAAAAGAACTTGAAATCCTTATGGTGTGGCTCTGCGCTGAATATCGGGTCAAAAGATCAAAAGAGGGAAGAAAATCAGGCCGGGCGCCGCGCTTGGAGGGCCGTGAGAAAATCCGTTACGACTCCGCTTTGTGTGTGGATGGGTCTAGCGGCTTTGGGATTAGCGCTGCCCTAATTTGCATTTGCTGAGTCAGGTGCATAATTGGTGGTTGTGCGGGCCGTTGTGAACATCATAATTGGGAGGTCTACTTACTCCGTGCAGAGTTAGTCGGTGATTGGCCAGTCATAATCTCTCAGGTATTACTAGTTATAGTATGCTTGTTTGATTTCGACGTAATTCTGATCTTTTAACAGGTGGAGGTATACTTTACAACACGGACAGATTCGTTACGTAGACATATGATGGCTACCGAGGATAGAATGCTTTTCATACTCCGTTAACGTACTAGAGAGTATCATAGTTCACTATGCTCTACTGAATATCTAATTCTAAACAAGAACGCTAATTCCAAATTTGCCTTCGCTCTATCCGCAGCTGGTAGATTCTCATAGCCGAGACAATCGCTCGCTCACTTACCAACTCACAGTTTAGCCTGCGCCTGTATTTGCTCATCACTCACCAAGCCAGCTTCAATAGCCTTGATCTGCAGAGCCAGGAACTTGGAATAGATCCGACACAAGGCCAGATTTCCGCCCATGTACCAGAAACCGGGGTGTCCGCTGGGGCGCCACATCTATAGAAAGTGCTTGTTAGTGGTGATAAAGTTGAAGCAAGCGGAAAGAAGCACGTACTGCGTTGATTTCTCCCTCCTCGTCTAGATCCCAGACATCTCGACATCGGTCCGCAACACGGTCACCTAGCACTTTCCTCACCGTCGTGCGCATATTGTCGTAACCAGTCGCGAGGACCACGACATCGGCGGACAAGGCTGACCCGTCCTTCAAAATAAGGCCAGATTCCGTAAAATGAGAGATTCCCTCCGGACTACGCTTAACCTTGATCTTGCCCGAGGCGATGAGCGGGCTGCAGCCGACATCAATGTAGTATCCACCGCCGCGAGTCATATATGCACGCCCAAGACCAGCACCGTTGACGCCAAAGTCCAGTGCGAAACCAGCCTTCTCAAGGCCACTGAGGAGATCTTGCTCGGCGTGCGCCACGCGCCGGGTGAAATGCTCGCCCAGAGCAAATTGGACAGGGAATGGAAGACATTCATGCAGCAGGTCGGCTTCTTCGGTAGGAGGTCTGCAAGAGTTAGAGGCGTGCGGGTTCAAGACAGGGATAAGACGTACCCGTGATCTTCGTGTTGACCCTCATGCATCATGAAGATACCCTTCTCAACAGTAATGACATAGGTCCCGCGCCGTTGTAGCATAGTTACCTGCGCGCCATTCTCGCAATAGTTCTGCGCGATATCATGGCCGCTGTTTCCCGTGCCGACCACGACGACCTTTTTGCCTGCTACGTCGTAGTGGGATGCATCTGTGTGCTGGCTGCCGTGGTATACTGTGCCCTTAAACTGCGACTGGTTTTCGAAGCTGGGAACCAAGGGTTCTCCTGAGTGCCCCGTGCACCAGATCAGGTGGCGTGGGCGCAGTGTACGTTCGCTCCCATCGCCGCGGACGACCACCACAGTCCACTGCTTCTGGGCATCGTCGTAGTCGGCAGATTTGATGGAGGTGTGAACCCAAACATTCAGTTCCATGATCATAGCATAAGCCTCAAACCAGTCGGCTAGTTTGTCTTTGGGGGTAAATTGCGGCCAGTTCTTCGGGAAGGGAAGGTATGCCATATGGGTGAATTCTGCAGGGTCATGGGTTACGAGGGTCTATGAGTACAGGTCAGATGGCGAGTCAGAATATGTGTATAGCAAGCGTAGCTCACCCTATAGCGCTTCCGCCAATTATCTCCGATACGTTCATTCCGGTCGACGATGAGATGCGATATCCCGAGAGAATTGAGCCGAGCGCCCATGTTGAGACCTGCCTGGCCTGAAAGTTTACTAATTAGCTTATTTCTATTGCACTAATGGTGAGGTCTGCGTTACCAGCTCCAACAATGAGGGTCGTAGGCTCTTCTTCCTTGAACTCAATTGTCCTCTGGCGTCGCTCGAGCCAGTTGCCCTGGTTGAGTCCACCGGGCATTGTCTCAATAGTACCGTATGCTCTTCTGATGCCCAATGGCTCCTCGAATTCCTTTAATTCTTGCAGAGTTGTATACATCGCATATGCCTTCCACTCTCCTGCGTCGTTCTGCGTCAGATGAATGACCCCGGAGCCACGCCCCACACTAGTCTCGAAGAAGATGATGGAGTTTATCCAGTTCAGCCCCTCCGCGGGGCTTTCCATCCTAGGCTGGAATTTGCCCTCATGCTGCAGACGCAGAGCAGAAAGACCCGCACGAGGCTGATTGGCAGCCAGGAAGTCTTGAATCTTCGCGCATCCCTGGATAGTACGAAAGTCCCAGACCAACGCGAGCATGTCCCTCCACCAGGAGTCCTCGTGGAAGACTTTTCCTAGCTGGGAATAGTTCCCTGTGGCGAGAAGAACTTCCAGGTCGGTGATCCATCGCTGAGCAATAGCTCGGGGATCTAGCGGACCGACAGAGGATGGTGTTCTGGGGAGCTGGATCACGTAGTTGCTCTGGGCAAGGGACATGACGGGGAGTAATCCAATGTCACTGTATCTTCGTAAATGTTGTCGAGAGATGGAGCGGCTGGGGCGGGAGGGCCAAGTTGAAGTCTACGAGCCCCTCGTTGTATAAATACCCCGAGCTCTCCACATTGGACCCATAGTTCCATTGTTGACCACAGCTGACGAGGGGGAGCGGAACCCGCTCGGAGAATTAGCAGATGGACATGCTCCGATGGGACGCAGTGGACCGCAAAGAAGTCCGGGGATGATGGATCATATGGGGACCTCGAGGCGAGTCCCACTCGTTTCCCGTCTATGGACGTTATTCGTGGCAGTCTCGAGTGGAGTGTTGAGCAGCAGCAGCTGTCAGTTGTCACTGATAGGAGTCCATCGTGGCCGTCGATCATTCATCAGTAAATACAACCGATGATGGGATGGAGGGGGGAAGTTCCAGTCTAGGCCTGGTGATGATCCAGCGCCTAAATTGCCCGAATTAGGAAGTCATACTGATAAGCCCAGGATCTCTCGGCACACTTACCCCGCAGAGCGTGACGTATTTCGTCTCCATCTGATGAAAGACACTATCTACTCCATGTCTTTGCTTGTTGTGAGTGGAAAGGCACCAGAACTCAGCAGAATAGAGTGGACACCCTGTCGATGGCTGTGTGGGAGAAATATATATGGCAGATAGCTCCTAGAATGATCAAACTGACACCTTTGTGTCTTCGCTACAATATCCACCAATAATGGTGAGTAGTATATGGTGTTGAATATGCTGGTTTGGTTTGGTTCTAATAGTGTGACAGATAGATTTTCCGCCAGTCATTTTAGTCTGTCAGAGGCCATCCACAAGACACAGTCTAGAACGCTGTGAATAAATATTTGCCAAATGAGAGAAAATCAGTTAAGCCATGAACTGTGGCATGTCTAGGGGTAGCAATCATGCCACGGAACTAGCTGAGATACATTCCTGCTTGGAAATCCAAGGCATTGTTGCTCTTACTCTCAAGGCATTCAGGTTTGCTCGTCAGAGCTTGCTTAACTTAGACTACGTACTCGCCCCAGGCTTCGTAGTCTTATAGACTGCTCACATGTACTCAATGAGTAGAAAGTCAGGGGTGGTGGATGCTGAGCAGGAAGACAACAAGCAACTGAGTTATATGAAAGGTCAAGAAGGCACACTACTAAACGTGCCAGGGGAATATGTAGAGTCAGCAAGCCCAATAAAAGCCCATAGTTAGAGGTAATCCAAGTCGACACCCCGTGACTGCCTGAAAACTAACATTTGAGAATAACCTTGCCATTGACAACCTTGACAGCAACTCAGTTCAACTCTGAATCTCCAAGGAATCCATAGCATAGCAGGACAATGCCGGTGTAACCTGCCCGAAACCGTTTCTCTGACAGCCCCCACGGACATTCCAATAATCCCCAGGCATCCAGCTTTCCCTCCCAATCCGGAACCAACAAATCCGGATCATGGCAAGGGATGCAACCACCGATTCACAATATACTCGGTGTGTGAATGGATCATTGTCTCACCAATGTGTCCCCTTACACCGCCATGCATGGTCCCTTATAAAGCGGCCCCGGAATCAAGGGGGAAGAGGGGTTACAGGAAAACAAAGACACTGACTGCTAACTCGCCGAATTCGTCCATTGTTGACCGCGATCGTCGTTCTTTCTTCATTCAGGTACCACAGTTCTCCGCCTGCATTGAGTTATATACTTATATCCTACCTGCAAATCCTTCACAAACCTGCTCAAACCCTCTCACCCACTAATTCACTCACGCATTCTTAGAAAGCCAAATTTGCTCGCGAAAACAAAGATGATATTCAAATCCGCCCTCCTCGCAACCGCTTTGTGCCTCTCCGCCACGGCTGCGGCGAACACCAATGCCCCCGTCGTCACTGACAACGATGATGTTACCTACTACGCGCAGCTAGAGCCCAAGGATAACACCACTGTCCGCGGGTCTGTGACCATCTTGCCTAAGCCCAGTGGCGTGGGTGTCCTTGTTTCGGCGCACTTCTGGGGAATCCCCGATAATGAACAGCAGTTGGGTACGCTTGCTTCCATTTCTTCCCGCTCCTTCATATCGATCCATCATATGGGGCTTGTGTTTAGAGTTTCCATATGAATCCGAACCCAAACTCAAACCTTGAGTTAATAGCAAACCTACACATTTATACTGACCTCTTCATGACATGATCAGTCTACCACATCCATCAAAAGCCAGTCCCCAAGGACGGCAACTGCTACAGCACTGGCGCCCACCTGGACCCTTACGGCCGTGGCGATGCCACCCCCTGCGACATCAACGCGCCTCAGACCTGCCAAGTCGGCGACCTCAGCGGCAAGCATGGACCGATCTGGGCGCCCGACAACGAGGAATTTACCACCACATACACAGACTGGTTCCTTTCCAATGTGGAGGGAGAGCCTGCTTTCTTTGGAAACCTCTCACTGGTCGTGCATGCGGCGGATAACTCGCGCCTGGCGTGTGGAAACTTTGTGCAGCTGAAGTAAGACTGGATGGATGAATATTTTCTGCTGCTTGGGACTTTGCTGTATTGTTGGGCTGGTGCTGTATTGGGTTAGGGTTGGATTTAATACTCAACTATTGGCATGGTAAGTCCTTGCCGATGTGAGACTCTGCGCACAGCCCCAAGGTGTTCATATTGGAGCGTTTAGCTACTAAGCAGCCTGCAATAACTTAATGAACTATCATAGCCTCGCGCTAAAAAGCCTTCCTCCCTCTCTGAAGAACTTTCTGTTAAAATATTCTGCATTGAGTGTGTAATACATGAGCATCTTGGTGAGATGCCCAGAACCTTAACGATATCATATCTATCTCACGTATTAATTGCTTACAGACTGAAGATGGAAGCTTCCCTTCTCTCCCCTTTCGGTGTCCCGCCAGACCAAAGCAGTAAATTGCTTTTGTATCAAGCGTCAGTAATAAAAGTAATACATTCTATTACTCTGTGTAGCAGGGATTCGAGTACGAACATCACAGTAAGGCGACTAGGAATAGTAACAGAATGCACAGATCTGTAGCAAATGGCAAAGTAACCAATCGAGAGCACGAGCAATCCAAGTGGAAATAGAATCCAGCATCACTTGACTATCCTTACTAAGAATCGTCTTACATTGCATAGGATTTTATTACTGTAATAGAGTAATTTCTATCTCTCTTGCTTACTATTCTCTTATTTAGGAAAGGCATCTTGGAATTCATGTTTGATCGTGTTTGTCATTGATTGTAATAGGAACGATAGTCGTGATCCTCTTGATAGTATACGTACGTAGATAGTCATCACAAATATATCAGATCATGGGCGCAGACAGACAGTGCTAGATATAAATGCTGCGTTTGCTGCATTGTCCGCGGCGACTGGCGTTCATGCCTAGCCTGTACGTGCATGCTCGTGTCCAGTAAGCATTGCTCGTCCACATGCCTCCCACCGTGCCAAAAGGAAAAGAAGTCCCGCGGAAGTGGCTGCATGCTGACTGACGGACCATCCAGGTACAGTCATGCCGAAGGCGGGCAGCCAATGGTGGCGTTTCTTACGCGATATTAGATAGCTGGGGCTTTTAATGGCATATTCTTAACCAATGAGCACTTCAGGTGGGTTGTCCAACTAAACTCTCAATCCGGCTTTGGATCGCCTGCTCATCGTATTGGCCTTCTTCGCCCTCGTAATCCTTCAAGACTACGGTCCGCATGAGCCGTCGCGGCGCCCGGCGACCTGTAAATAGCTCGAACTGGGCGAAACCTTGCTCCGGGAGGACATCCAATCCGTCCAAAGCGACCCAGCCACGGTGCGAAAGTGCTCGGATTTGTTTCATCAGTGGGGTATTGAGCGTTTTATACGCCAGCTACATATTGATTAGTAACGTTCATAAAGAAGGGCGTAAACACAGTGGTATTTGGACTGACCTCCACGACCACGCCTCCCGTTGGGCTTTCGAGCCACTGCACTGGCATCTCAAAGTTTGGGGCCGGCTGCCCCCCGATGCTGTGAGTTGGGATACATGAGCAGACGACGGTCGGCTGCTTGTAGTTGGCAGGCCAGCTGTCCTGTAGAGTTCGCAGCACGTGCACCTGAGGCCGTGCCGCTGACCCGGCCTGGCCTGGCGAAGGAAGGTTCTGGCGATTATAGTGGTAGGCGAGTTTTTCGGCATTCGCTATGGTCCGGTTGTAGACGAAGATATTCTGCACTCCCAGGTGTATCATGGAGTAAATGGCTGCGCGGGCCATGCCACCCGCGCCAATAACTAGCCCAGTAGATGACGGGCGGATGGCATTTGCGGGTGACAAGCCTCTCCGGAAACAATTTCCAATCCCGATCCAGTCGGTATTGTCTCCATGCAAGGCCTTGATCGGTCCTGCACGACTCTTCTCCATGTACAGCGAGGAATTATCGGCGTCGAGGGCCTTGTCACCCAGCCTCCGAATAGGAATTAGCGTGTTCACGGCGCCAATGGCTCGAGCATGTGGAGACATGGAATGCAGCAGCGGAATGGCTTCTGTTTTGAACGGCAGGCTGACACTGGTGCCACCAAAATGCGGGCTCTCCACCAACTCATTGAGGCCTCGCAGAGACGACGACTGGTGAAGTTTGTACTGATGCGGCATTCCACATCGCTTATAGGCGGCGTTATGCATGGCAGGAGACAGACTGTAGGTGATGTTGGCACCGAAAACAAAGAAGTGTAAGGGGTCCAAAGTGAATGAGGCGTACAGCGCCTCCTGTGCCTCACGGAGGGTGATACACGGCAAGCCTTTCGATTGTGTCTCGGCGACCATTGACGGGTGAGTGACAGGGGTCAATGTCGGGTTGAAGCAGCATGACAACCGGCCCAATGGGCCCGTATTGTACGCAATGACAGGGAGTTGCGGGGCAGGAAGGGACTTGATGTAGTCTCGAAAACGTTGCACGGCAAAATTGTCGTCAATCGTCACCGCCGGCTGTGTCAGCCGGACCATGTCGCATCCTAACCTTTTGGCTCGCTCGTAGAGATCCATATACTGTGCGTCATCCCAGCCCCGCGCCGGTGGCTGCACGGCAGCAAAGTGCCCGATCACTTTGCTCGACCCTTTATAGGCTATAACCTGTGAAAGTACCTTGTCGTCGTAGGACATGTCTACGGTCACAAACTCCGGGGCTAATCGTAGACCGTGCTGAACTAATTTGAGGTATTCTGCATCTGACCGCCGCGAGGGATCCTTGTGTTCTGCGCTCAAGCCATAACGACATACATTACTCTCCACATTGTATATTAATGGAACGACCGTGTTCCGTCGGACATTGGCTACCGCCCGACTAATGGTATCGGCAAAACTCGAGTCCAGACCGAGATGGGAGGAAGGTGGTTCGGCGACATCCAGCTTCAGCTCGAACGCATCGGAGGTCGACTCTAGCTCCTCGATGTCCAGATCACGTTCCAACATGGATGAAATAGGGACGGTCACGGCATATGTGTAGGTACGTGATTCGACTGGTTGCATCGATAGAGGGAACGATGAGTTATGACGGCTGAGGTCCGTGGTGTCGCCCGTTGCGAACGCAATGAAACAAAGAAAATCACGCTGTAGTTGTTTGAGGGTCAGGAAAGGAGTGATTGCTTGTACTCGCTGATCAAGCTCAGATTCCAATGGCGAGTCCTGGTGGCCGTCTTTTGGAAGTGGGTGGTCCGCGATGCCCTTCTCAGAGACATTGAAGAACTCGAGGTTCGAACATGCGCGATAGATGGGCCCCGAGAGTTCCAGAAAACGACGAACTTTGTCTGTGTTCCACGCTTTCAGATAAGACTGGATGCACTCGGGGTCTCGGAGGACGTAGATAACCGGATGGGTCTTCGCGTACTCCCTCAACAACGTCTGCCCGCTGCGCTCCATGGACCCAGGCCCGCATGCGATGACGCAGCCCTCTTGGTTTTCGGAGAGCATGGACTCCATCACCCTGGCTTCCTGCTGACGATACTCGACCAAATCAAACTCCTTCTTGTAAGAAGCACGTGTACGGCCGGTCACCTGCTGAAAATACCGGTCTGCATCGATCAGTCGCCTACCCGAGGTGGCCGCCAGAATGACCGCTAGACTGGACTTTCCCGTGCCGCGGATTCCGGTCAACACAATGGACGCATTGGGAGCGAATTTCCTCTGAGCCTGGAAAGGCCCGTCAAAGGAGACTGGCGACTGACGATTGGAATTCAGCTCGCGCAAGGAAGCATTCAACCATGGCGACGCCTCTGAGTGTTCCGTCTGAGGAGCGGAATTGACACGGGGACGCGGAGGAGCATCGTCGCTGGGGGTAGGATCTACTGCATGGGGGGTATTCGAGGTGAAAGGGAGATGCGACAAGCGTCTGCTGTTCTGTTGCTCGACCGGACCTTCCAGCTCGTCTAGCTTGCGTTTGGGTGGATTCACGAGGATGGACATTTCGTGCACAGGAATTTTTGTTCAGGCTATGCACGAGAAATCACAATACTGAGAAGAGGGCGATTATTAGACCCACGCATGGCGTAGGACGCGAGAGCCGAGAATTAGTTCCTGCAGGACCGACCGGGCGCATTCGAAGGTAAGCATTGGTTTGAAACGGTCACGATGAGCCTGCGGAGGAGCAATCCAACTACTTGTGTGAGCGACGTAATAAGAAGAGGGCGGGAAATGCTCAAAACCCAAGAGTGTGGGGAGATATGAGCTAAGGAGGTAGTGTAGTGTAGGGGGGGGGGTGGGAAGGGAAGGGACAAGGAGGGACGAACCTGGGGTGGCTGCAGTGCCAGGAAGGGACTGGGCGTGTTTGACGAGAAGGTGGAGATGGAGAATAACTACTGTTAGTAGAATAGTCAAGAGTGAGTAGTGAGGAGGAAGACGGAAGTGCGATCGAACCGCGGGGAAGAAACGACTGCCGAGCGAGTGGATACACTTTTGGCTCTCCAAATTCCAAAAGTGGTTGCGGACAAAGGCTCTGCCGTCGCTGGGCCGTATTTTTCGTATGGCCTTTCGTACCTCATGTTACCGCCACGTCCGGATGACCCGGAATGACTCCGGCGGCCGAACAACCAAGTTGTTAAGGAAAGTTTAGTAGTAGTACTTTGCAGTAGACTTGAGTTAGTTCAACTGAGTTTAGTTAACTGGGATGTGCCTTGTTCCTTGTCCTGCATTGATACCCCGCGGGGAAAGCAGCTCAATCCCCAGGCAGCAATTGATCTAATACTCTTAGTTACATACTGAAATGCACACGCACTTTGGGTGCGGCTGGAATATGCCATGCGACACAAGACTGGGTTAACCAGTAATAGTAGTGGTAGACGGGGGAAAGGTAGTAAAGGGTCTGAAAATGCTGGAATCTGAATGGCTCTCCACACCTTCTCTTCCCCAAGTTCTACTAACACTTGGCTCCCTCTCACCCCCGGGCTCTTCGGACAACTTCCTAATTCCCGAACCTGGACCAAAATCTCCCACATTATGATTCCACTATCCACAATCCACAATCCACAATCCACACAGACACACAAGA